CCCTTCCTCTTCACTGAAAAATAAGATCGGAACATCTCTCCTAGTTCAGTAACTAAAGGAAGAAAGTAGAAAAAACCAGTGGTCTTGCAAATCGATTTATTAATCTCTAGGACTTAATGAAGAGAAAAATCCTGTTGGATTCTGCCTTTACCATTTCCAGAAGTCAGTTTGCTTTGAGATACAGGAACTCCTCGTTCCTGCTCTGTGGTGAAGCCTGGTTTATTTAACATTTCCTTGAGTTCCAGAGTGTCTGGTGGGCAGTTAATCAGAGGGAGGGTTTGTGTGGGGTGGATCAGCCTTGGACACTGAGGGCAGTACTCTACAATCAGGATATGTATTCACCACGTGCCGTTTAGCAACACGTGATTTTTTGGGAAGCAGCGAACCCTCAGCAGTGCACGAAGCTGCCGTTGGGTGTCAGCCTTGTTTGAGGCTTTGTGTGAACTGCATTGATTTTTGTCACCTCAGCCTTTTTTAAAACACTCACAGTAGATTGTAGTCCCTGATGATTATGGAATAATAGCAAAGGCGATTCCTGATGCTCTCTTGGATTCTCACCTGAAACGCTGCTGGATGTGGAACGTTCAGCTTACATACATTTCACCTTTAATCTGAAGGGCACTGCTTTGAATCGCTCTCTCCTTAAACATTTCAAAGTAATCAAACCCAGAATGCAAGTTCAACAAACATTTCCCACGCTAGAAAAGCCTGCACTTCATTTAGCTGCCTATTTTTATACCCTGGGACTGTTTGTTTTCAGTGGAAGGGGAACATGTATATGTGGCTAATAATCCCAAAATAGGCACGTTCTTAAATCAGGTTCCTTTAAACAGAATCATTTCTCCCACATTAAAGGAGACATAGTTTAAAATAGCTTGGAGTCTGGGAGGTTTTATGTTGTTTACACTGAGAGAATCCATATAAAAGACCCCTCAGAGCAGAGCTTGTCCTGAGGGGAGCCTGTACATATATTTACCAGGATAATCCAGGGTCCCAGCAGTCTGTGTCCCCCATGGGGGCACTGGAGCTTGGAAACAAAGCAGGATGGAAAAGAATCTGCACATTTTTTTCCTCCACCTGAAATGCTTTCATTAGGGCAAATACCAAGAAAACCTGGTCAAGTTTTCAGCAAATGCTTTTACTGCCAAACTATCTCTGAGCATTTGATGTGTTTTAGAAATCGAGGAAATTCTACAAAGCTGACTCCTTTAAATTCTCTCCTACATTCTGTTAAGGGATATTTGGGACCACAAATACAAATCACAGTCAAATTAAACGGATGGTATTTGCTTACAGGGAGTATATTGGAAATAATTCTTGTTTTCTGAAGTGTTTCTTGTGGCTCAGAGAGGCAGAGGACAGAGTTTTCAAGGCTTTTTAGCAGTCTCAGATCTCTGTCCCAGCCCTGGAGCCAGGCTGGGGTGAGGTGTTGCTCCCCACACCCCACATGTAGGAACCATCCTTGCTGGCTTTGTGCTGAGCTTCCACTTCAGAAGGAAATGTCAGAACAGGGAAAAAAAA